CCTTCCCACTCAGTGGCTTAGGGTATAGGTTTGAGTTTTTAAAATGAATGCATCTATGAGAATGAGGGCACTATTGTGGGAAAGAGCTGGCATTGACTTTCTTAATAGTTCTTAAACTAAAATTTGCTTAGAGTGGCTTCCGATGTTATGTAGTGATGCTGCATAATAAATTCATTGGCTAATGAATAATATTTACATCCATGATGACAAACCTGGCTCGTGGTTAGCTGAAAACAGCCTTGTGACAGTCAACGAGATTCTGTTATTTACTTCCACAGAGTTGGGCAACCACATATATGCAAATAAGTGCATTCTGACTGATGGCAGCTAAATTCAATGAAAAATGTTAGTCACCTACTCAAGAGCTGCTTTACATTTTAAAACATTTTTGAGGGGTTTCCATGTATTTCCAAAGGAAAGATTTAGGGACCGGTCTTGCAAGAAGGCCACATGCTCCTGAAGTCAATCACAGTTCTGTGCATGGAGGATTTTCAGGATCAGATCCTCAGTCTAGTTTATTGTGGAATACCTGACCACATTAGAAAGCAGGACTTTCAGAATGTATGTTACAGTAACACCATACTTCAGTGAACACCAGCTATAGCGTTGATCCCACAGTGAACAAAGTTTGGCATGAAAAATGTATTTTTCCCCCCCATCAGAAAATTTCTACATGAATACTTTTCAGTCAGGGCTATTTATTTCCTTTTCAATTCACGTTTAATAGATGGCAGTAAGGAGAGCCTTGTTATTTATTTATTTAACTTCACTCGGGTAAAAACGTTTGCCCCTTTAACAGAGCACAGCAACAGGTGATGAATGTCTATATGACACAACATCCCCTCTCCCATTGAAACAAATCTCTGCCCTAACAAAAAAATAAATATCTAACCTACATGGATATTTAAATTCATAATGTAGTCTGCTAGCTTCAGATAATGCTAACAACGATCTCTCTGGTGGGGATGGAAGTAAAGCACAATACAGTAACAATACTACAGTGCATCTGACGAAGTGGGCATTCACCCACGAAAGCTTATGCTCCAATACATCTGTTAGTCTTAAAGGTGCCACAGGACTCTCTGTTGCTTTTTACAGATCCAGACTAACATGGCTACCCCTCTGATACTTAATACTACAGTGATTACTGCCATAGTAATGTTTAGAAGTAAATAAAATAATAATAATGCCTATGTAGTAATGTACATCTTCAAAGCACTGTGCTAACGTTATTTGACTCCAGGAGAATGGTAATGGCATTATATTGGGCTAATGTCTACATAGGGTCATTGAGCTCTGGTTTTCTCTCATTGATGTTCTTCATACATAGATTTCCTTTATCCAGGGCTCTCTTTCTGATGCAATTGGTGTATTTTTAATCCTAAAGTCTTTTCAATCAACCCATTGGAAGTACTAGTTTGGTTCATTTGGATACATTTTGGAAACTCCGTAAGGTCTATATGTATTCACTTTCATGCAGCTGCTTTGTATGTTTTGTAGAATCACAGAAGTTAGAGATGGAAAAGACCTACCATCTTCCTGCCAATGCAGGTATATTGATCAGTCCTCCATCTATCTATCAGCATTTCTAGAGAATTTTCCAAGTAGTAACTACGTACAGTGTGGAGGTTATAGAAAACAATTGGATCTATCCAGAAGGGCCAGTCAATTCTCCATCATAGTTTCTGAAATAATAACTGGCTCCTTCCTTTGTACGTGATCCCAGACTTGCTTCTGCTCTTGTTCTTTGGGAAATGTTTTACTGAACAGTGAATCTTGCTTTGTGACCTGAAGATGGCAAAGGTAGGATTCTTACTGATCAACCTAGGGAATAGGTTACAGAGCTCTGGGGCCTGCAATTGACAAGGTTATTTTTCTAGCTCCGTCAAATTCATAAATTACTCTCATAACACCCAGGACACATACACTGGTCTGAGAATCGACCTCTCGGTTGTTTGTGTGTCAATCTCATTGCTCTTCTCTTGTAAAATGTTAAAGGGATAAAAAACCCTCCATATCTCTGTTTTCTTAACTCAGTGACATCTGGTTCCACGTCCCTCCAGTCCAGGTTTGTTCCAAGTGGTACATTTAATAGTGTTGAGTCTAGTTTCAATTTAAATGACTTAGGCAGTAGAAATGCCATCAGCTCTCTTGGGAGACTATTCCACAATGTAATAGAATTCATTGCTGAGCAGCTGTAACTATTGCACTGTATGACTTTGACAAAGGACAACATTTTCATCTTAGCCTTAACTGGGGCCCTGTTTTTGCGCTTGTGGTTTTGTCGGTACAATAATCGAAGAGGCAAACTTGTACTGGCAATTTATGGACACAAAATTTGTGGCCAGTGTCTAAAATCTGGCCTATGATAGTTAGAAGAATGATAGCCAATGGCATTTTGATTTTTTTTTTTTTAAGGTAAGTTTATGCAGAGAAAAAAAAAAATCTTCTTACTGTTGAAAGGGCCTGTGTTACCATATATTCTGGTCTTTGCTGCAGTCCCAGCAGTCCATGCTTTAATGACTTGTGTATATAATTGTTCATATAAACTAAGCATCTCAAGCCATTGAACTTGATGGAATGCAACTGAAGCAGTGAAAGAGTGAAAACACTTCGTTTCAGGATATTCTGTGGCTTCTGGCAGCTAATTCACACTAGCTCAACCTCATCTGGTCTTTTTTTCTTTTCATCCCTTTCTGATGACAAGTCCTATAGCATCATTAAAAAAAACAACAACAACAAAAACACAGACCTCATGTGACCCTCACCAGATTACGAGAGGGACATTTAATTAAGAAGCTGCCGAGAAGCCACCAAACGCAGTGTTAGGAGTTGCATCCAATACAAAGAGACTCACCCAAAATCTCTCTTAGGGCTTGTCTACTCAAACAATAAGACTGCGACAAGCTGGGGGTGAATCTACTCCACACTAACCCGACGTGATCTAACTGTTCGTGTGCACGCTGCTGAATACAGTTCGTTAATGGGGCTAGCTCAAAGTTCTCGAACGAACTGTTAGCACGCGTCAGCAGGGTGCACACAAACAGCTAGACAAGGGCAGGCTCGCGTGGGGTAGATTCACACCCCAGACTGGCACAGTCAAATTGTTTGTGTAAATAACCCTCTCAGTCAGAGTCCGGGCACTGAAGAGCTTCCCGATATGAGCACTGTCTCTCAGGGAACCCACAACAGAGTGATATCAGGAGGGCTGTGATACTGGCCAATGAACAGAAGTTTGGTTCATTTTACATCTTCAATATGTTGAATCCTTTAAGGCCAGGACTCTTAGCAATGCCTGCTGTTACTAGGAGATTTTCAGAGACAGACTGAAGACTTTCAAGGGGGACAAGGGCATAGGATAGCACTGACACAAACAACTCTGCTCCTTTGGAAAGTAGGAGCATCACCATGATGTTTATTTAGCATGAATATAGCCCATACTGGTTATGGAGGAGTAATACCATGTGTCTGATGCTATTTGGCTGGCTGGTATCTACTGGCTGATACATAGGTACTGTGTACACTGTGGGAGCACAGGGCTACTTCAATACATACCTCAATTTCCACTCCATCCGGGAGCCTCAGTAGTCCCTGATCTGGCATTCCTACAGTAGTGAGTTTCAACACTGTACCCTTTTCTCCCCATGCAACCGAAAACATATGCTGCCCTGCAGAGTGAATGCCAGACCAGCTGCTGCTCAGCTGAGATAGGCAATTGAACAGTCACCCATAGAGCTCACTGGGAAGTTTTTGCCAGATTTTTTTCATTGAAAAAAACTGATTCATCACAACCAAAACTGCTCTGGAAACAGGATTGGGTTTGACAAATTTTCCATCTCAAAAAAAAAAAAAAAAGAGAGGAGAGAAAAGAAAAGTGTCAAAGTTGTTCAAATGTTTTGTTTCAACATTTTCTAAATGAAAAAAATCTGGTTCAGAACAACTTTTCATTTTAAAAAAAAATGTAAGCTAGTCAGACTGGACCAAAAGGGTTCAAAAAAGACAAAAAAGGTCAAAATCAAAATGAAACATTTCAAAAATAATCAAAAAAGTTACAACTGACCCAAGACCAAAAAGCCCAGTTTTTCAGTTCACAGATATTTGAGATTTTGACTTTTTGTCCTCATTTGAGGTGGGGGAAAACAGCAAACTCTTGAAAACGTTTACAGGGTGGGAAAACTGTTTTCCACCCAACTCTACTTACCACTGCATAGTGGTGGCCAGCAAGATGCATAACTGAGCATGGAAGCTTCTATTTTCTCTGCCTCGTAGGAGGAGAGGGCTAAGCCATTCCACCCAGCAGAAAAGACAGGCCATGCAATGTGGGGCCTGGGTATCTGAGGAAGGACATGGTTATGATTTCAATAAATAGGTTGATTTGATGGGGGTGAGGAAGAGCCTACAGTCTGCTTTATTCTCCAGTCCTGACCATTTTCTAGTTCCCCTGAATTTGAAAGCAAGATAGATCACTTTATGACCAATAACAACAATTTGTAATTCTGCAGACTTAGATGAGACTAATGAAATGTCGTGCTTCTGGTCACCCCATGGATAACTGCAAGATTCAGGAAGTATGCGCCTCCACCCCCATGTTCTGCACTGTACAGGTGGTCAGATACATTATGGGGGCTTTTCACCTTTCTTTGAAGCTTCAGGTATTGGTGACGGCTAGAAGCAGACCTTTGGTCCAATCAAGAATGGCAAATGGGAGGTGGTGTCATCATGGGAGGCTCTGTTGCTGTCCTATGCGCTCTACTAGGATTCTGTTCTGTTGAATACTAAGTAACTGCAAGTGGATTTGATCTGACGAGAATAAAACTGTCTCCATGTCTTTTGTAACTGTCTTGTGTTATTTGAGTGTCCTGTGTTCGAAAACCTGCTTTCTAACCATTCCCCAGAGTTTGGTTTGGTAAACAGTCTCCTTTCCTAAACCTAACTCTTTCTCTCTCTCCCCCCCCCTGCCTGTCTCTCTCTTTTCCTTTCTGACCTGCTTCCCGGTGTAGAACCGCATGCATGAGTCTCTCATGCTCTTCGACTCCATCTGTAACAACAAATTCTTCATTGATACCTCCATCATTCTCTTCCTCAACAAGAAAGACCTATTTGCCGAGAAGATCAAGAAATCAGCCCTGACCATCTGCTTCCCTGAATATACAGGTATGTGTCATGACTCGGACAGCCCAGCCTACCAGTCAGGAAGCAAAAGACAAAAGACGTAATCTTGCAACACTGGGGTGCAGATGAGAAGTGACACTTGATGTGCCCTAAAGTTAGATGGTGCCTTGAGGGGGTTAGTATCGATGGGTGTCTTACGGACAGTTCTTGTGGGGGTGACACTGAATGGTCCTAGGCTGTCAATGGGACACGCAAACCTCAAGACACCATATGAACTTATGAAGCACCAAAATACAAAACGCCACCAATAACTAATGGAACAATAGAACAACGTTAATTGTAGTAATATTAAGAATGTCTTTTCTCCTTTCTTATAAGCTCATGATCAAACTCTGCTCATGGATCTACTTCGGATATGTTTAGTAGGTTTAACTTTGGAGGAAATCACCAGCCAATGATTGTAAGGTCCCAGTCCTGCAAACACTTAATGACCTAGAAGGTCCCCATGCTCCTATACGTGTGAGACTAGTCCCCTGCTATAGCAGGCAACCCTGACATATCATCCCAGTCAGACTTATAGACATGCCTAACTTTACTACTGTGAGTCATCCCACTGATATCAATAGAACGACTCAGGGTTGTAAAGTTCACTACATGTGTAGGTGTTTGCAGGACTGGGGCCTGAGTTACCTACTGACAGTATGGCCCCTTCTTCAAGAGGGTGGGGTCTTCAGAGCAATCCGTCTTCTGGTGTTTGCTTTGGCTACAGCTGGTTGGTTGTCAGAGCAAAAAGCGACAAAAGGTCATTTTTTGTTTTTAAGGGAAATTCATGGCACACAATAGTTTAATGCAGTGTTTCTCAAACTGGGGTCATCGCTGGTGTAGGGAAAGCCCCTGGCGGGTCGGGCCAGTTTGTTTACCTGCCCTGTCCGCAGGTCCGGCCGATCGCGACTCCCACTGGCCACGGTTCGCTGCTCCGGGCCAATGGGAGCTGCTGGAAGCGGCATGGGCCGAGGGACATACTGGCCGCCGCTTCCAGCAGCTCCCATTGGCCTGCAGCGGCAAACCACGGCCAGTGGGAGCCGCGATCGGCCAGACCTGCGGACGGGGCAGATAAACAAACCGGTCCGGCCCGCCAGGGGCTTTCCCTACACAAGCGGCAACCCCAGTTTGAGAAACACTGGTTTAATGGATATTAAGTTGTTTGTTGTGGGAAATTATGAGAAGAGTCAAATAAATATCCTTTACAATACAATATAAACTATTGAACCCCATTGAGTAACGTTTACCAAACAATTTAAACCCTTCAACAACAACAACAAAAAACAGATTGCATTAAAATGATAGGCAGCTACATTGTCTAAAAGTTCACCATGGAGTCTTGCTCCAGTAGCAGGATGGCTGGGATGACAACGACCAATGATTTTTAGAGTGAAAAAACCCCTAAAAGTTAGTGTTTTTCTAACAGAAGTAATGGCTATGACAAACATACAGCCTAGTTACAGCAGCCCCGTCTCTCCGACAGGAGCATAGGAGTTACCAGACTGGATCAGACATGTGGTCCATCTAGACCAGTATCGGGCTTCCAACAGTGGCCAGTACTAGATGTAAGGTGTAAGAACCCCATAAGAAGGCAGATGTTGGATAATCTGCCCCCCACATTAGGTCTCGTATATAGAGAGATCTCAGACTGATACATGTACAGAGAGAACTTTACGTGGATGTTTAGAGCAACATACAATCTTTAAATAATCAACATCACCCCAGTGAGATAAGTATGATTACCTCCATTTTACAGATGGGGAAACTGAAGCACAGAGAAGTGCCCAAAGACACACAATAAGTCAGTGGTGGAGCTGGGTCTAGAAGGCATATTTCCCCAGCTGTTTGTCCCGCCTACTCTATTAGACCACATGGCCCTTCTGGTCTCTTGCCCAAGACTCCACAGCAAAACAAAAGCAGAGGACGCAGGACATTCCAACTGCAAGTCCCATGCTCATCCATCCAGGCCATGGTGCCGAAGTGAATGGTTTGCCCCAGAATTGGCATCTTTAGCAAAAATCCAATGTTAGTTATGTTACCATCCAAACAGATGGAGAGTGAGCCAGTTCAAGGAGTGAAAAGCACAACAGACTTTGGCAAGATTATTTTACACTCTTGAGCCTATGTGTGTGCTGCAGAGGGACTTTCTCACTACACTTTTACACGTCATTCAGCTAAATCATATGCTACCCTCGCCCTCAACCAAATCCGTACATACAGGTCCATGCACATTAAAGGGCAGAATGCAGGGTAAGTACATAACTCCCACACTATGCGGATGACAGAAAGAAGACAAAAGCCTTTAATGTGGAACATTCCAATAGTTAAAATGGAACAGCCCCAGAGCAGAGGGAACATGAGGCTTCCACCCACAATTACATGGTTAGGAATGGTCAGCCATTCGAGCAGTCCAATTGGCTGATCATTCCCCTTCTTGAATAATGAGGACAACATTTGAATTTTGCAGAGGACGTGATTGTGAATCATGAAAATAAAAGTCTTCTCTGCGATTCAGTCACAAACCAGAACAAAATATTTTATCCCTCTTCTTAATTATTTATTAATGGCAAAATCCTATTTCTCTTTAATAAATTAAGGGGGGAGAAACTTAACCCATATGACTGGCAGCTCAATGGGCCACTATGGCATTAGGATAATAAGGGGCTCAAGTCATTCATTGAAACACTCACAGTCTGTGGAAGAACCAGTTATACACTGAGCCCTATGGCTGCGCTTCTTAAACCAACCTGAAGAAGAGCTCTGGGTAAGCATGAAAGCTGGTCTCTCTCACCAACAGAAGCTGGTCCAATAAAAGCTATTCCCTCACCCACCTTGTCTCTAACAGCCTGAGATCAACATGGCTACAATAACACTGCATACTTCTTAAACTGTGTTATTTCGTGTCTTTGGTAAGGTTTCTAGCCTACAGCCCTTACTCATGTGAGGAAAGGCTGCAGGATTGGGCCCAGTGGTTCTTAGAAAGTGCGGGGATGTTTTTACAAAATTTTGCCCTAATTTGTTTCTCACATATTTATTCCCTTGAAAAGTTAGGTTTTGTGAAATTTCAGGAGAAAGGCATTCTGCAGGAAAAAAGCTGTGAAATCACAAAATCCCAGGTTTGCCCAGGGAAAACAGCTTGGCTTGGAAAACATAGCATGAAAAGGTCTTGGAAACCAAGAAACAATTCTGAATTTGCAACAAGAGGCAAAACTGCTCAAGATTCTGAAGGCTTCAAAATGTGTTGTAAATATTTCGCACACCTCTGAAATCTCTCTTCTAGAGCTCGGCTTTAAGTGATCATGAAGGAGATTCTTTAGTAAGGCTGCTAGACACAGACAGACCCTCTGGTCGTTCTCTCTGACTCCAAGACTAACACAGCCAATGCTGCCTAGTGCTCACCAACAGGGTCTCCCTTTGTCCTAGTCAGGAATAAGCAAGAATGGAATGGACTGCTATCTATCAAATAATCCTCCATAGCCCTCTGAAACAGGTTTCTACACCGCTGGGGCACCATGTTGTGGCTACATCTGGGGATCTGCTCTCACCTGGTCTGATGCCCTCTCCATTAGTTGCTTGCTCCATGGTCTCTCTCTGAACTCGAGGTGCTTCCTCTTCATACCTTGGCCCTCCAGCCAGGTCACAATAGTCCTCCCCTTCTGGGGTATCAAAGTCCCACTGGACAAATTGTCTATCTGTGGTTTAGTCAATCTTCTGACCCACTTTGAAGTTTAGGCCACTTTCCCAGTGGCCAGTAGGGGAACTGAGGCCCACCCACTACTCTGGGTTCCAGCCCAGGGACCCTATACCCAGCAACCAGAGTCTGCTCAAGCTCCGGCCCTGTTGCTGTGTCCCTGAGCTCTTCCCTACCTCTTCTCTTTATCTCCTGGCCAATTGCTGGGTTTACCCCTGCAGCTTCCTCCACTTCCTGTGGCTACTTCACCCCTCTCAACTTCCTGCCAGAGTCTGTAGTCCAAGGCAAGATACCAGGGCTTACTGTCCCCCTAGAACTCCTCCTTGTCCCTAGCCAACTCCCCCCCTCTCTCTAGGGGGTGACTACAGATCACCTTCCTGCAGCCCTTTTCTCTTATCATCAACTCCCTCTGTTTGTAAGCCTAGCCAAGCTCCTCCCCCAGCTGGGTTTCATCAGCCATTAGGCCTATCAGTAAGGTGAGCATATTTCCCTATGGTGAATATGGGACACCTGGGAACATTACTCAGATTCAAATGAGTTCAGTGGCAATCAATCAGAACTATGCAGTACAAACATACAAATTAACATCAAGTTGACTGAGCCCTTGTTAAAAAGAAATACTGCGGAGTTGGAATTTTTTTTATTTACCTTCTTATCTTTAAGGCTTTAGGGTTCACACAGGGAGAGGTGACACACTCACACACACACACATTCCCGTACACCTCTCTCACATGGGGAGGTGACTGACTGATCCAACCCTCCCTGCCAGGCGCTCTCTGCCCTCCATGTCTGTCTGAGATCCCGGGACACATCCACCTATCCTGATACCTGGTGCCACGTCTTCCCGAGGCAACCTGTGGAGGGGCACGCAGGGTCACATGCCCCCCTCCCCAGATTTCTGCCAGGATTCACACCAGAATATGGCCAGCAGCAGCCTTTTGGCACTGTGCAGGAGGGAAGGGATGGGAGCTGCTTCCAACTGCAGGTGGGGGAAGGGATGACCTGGCCGTTATCTTTGCAGAGCTCATCTTCTGCGCCCCCACCCCACCCCTGCTCCCCCATGTGTGGAAGCAGCTTGTCCCTTCCTGGCCGCACTCTGTCGAAAGGCAGTTAAGACCTGCAGGCTGCTGCTGGCCACCGACGTAACCCAGCCGCCTCCTGTCCCCTGGCTAAAGCGCAGGCAAGAAGGGGTTAAGCCCTAAGGATGTATTGTGCACCAGGCCCCAGGGAACCTGACTGCAGGGGCTACAGCCAACCGGGCCAGAGAGGTGGCTCAGCAGGGGAGGGTGCCTAGGGATGGAGCAGCCCC